AGAATAGAATAGAATAGAATAGAATAGAATAGAATAGAATAATGGAGAATAGAATAGAATAGAATAGAATAGAATAGAATAGAATAGAATAGAATAGAATAGAGGAATGGAGAATAGAATAGAATAGAATAGAATAGAATAGAATAATGGAGAATAGAATAGAATAGAATAGAATAGAATAGAATAGAATAGAATAGAATAGAATAGAATAGAATAGAGGGATGGAGAATAGAATAGAGTAGAGTAGAATAGAATAGAATAGAATAGAATAGAATAGAATAGAATAGAATAGAATAGAATAGAACTGGAAGGGACCTTGGAGGTCTTCTAGTCCAGCCCCCTGCTCAAGCAGGAGAACCTATACCATCTCAGACAGGTGACTGTCCAGTCTCTTCTTTAAAAACTCCAGTGATGGAGCGCCCACGATTTCTGGTGGCAAGCTGTTCCATTGGTTAATTGTCCTCACTGTCAAGAAGTTTCTCCTTAATTCTAGGTTGCTTCTCTCTTTGACCAGTTTCTTGTCCTGCCCTCTGGTGCTTTGGAGAATAGTTTGACCCTCTCTTCTTTGTGGTAGCCTTTCAAATACTGGAACACTGCTATCAGGTGTCCCCTGTTTCTTCTTTTCTTTAGACTAGCCAGACCCAAGTCCCGTAGCTGTTCTTCGTATGTTTTAGCCTCCAGGCCTTTGATCATCTTAGTTGCTCTTCTCTGAATTAGTATGACCAACATGGTTTCTTGACAATCTCCTCTATCTCGGTGTGTGTTGACTGACCCATTAAGCAAAAACAATGACTTCACACCCTTGTTACGCCAAGCAACCTTTTTAAACATGGTTTGTTAAACAAACCCTAGTGGGATGGCATGAACATTACCCTAAGCCGACCACAAGTTATTTATGCGTTTGGAAAATGACCACTCGTTTCTCTACTTTGCAAAAAAAATAAAAATAAATGCAGCCCACGTTTTGCAAGAAGCATTGATCAAATTGCTCTTCCGAGCGATTTGAAAACAATCGGTTATTTTAATTGTTGTGAGTCTCCACAACTCATTGCAAAGGCAAAACATTTGGATAAATCTTTTCATTACCGGGCCTGCAAATTGAATTCTTTGCAAATTGAATATAGAACGCAGCACCTCCTCGTTCTCGAATTGTGCTTGGCAATTACAATCTTCAAATAATAATCATAATAACCTTGTGGGTTGTTTTTTTGGTTTTTTTTTTGCTCCTGAATTTGAGGTTTGCAGTAGTTGGTTTTTGAAATGCATTGGGTTGGAAATGTTCAGCCCTTTACGATAACTGCCTGGGAAGAAATCAAAGTTAATTGGCTGGTTGGTGTGCAGACTGTTTTTTTGTGCCTTTCTTGAGAAGTAATCTGTGTGACCCTGAGCCTGCAGCAGCAATAGTTTTTTCCCAGTTCTTGTCATCTCACCATTCACTGGCCAGAGAATAACAGAATGACAAATGGAAGGGACCTTGGAGATCTTCTAGTCCAGTGATGGTGAACCTTTTAGAGACCGAGTGCCCAAAAACTGGCCCCGCCCCTGCTCCACTTCCCTGCTCCGCCTCTGCTCTGCCCCCCATCCCCCGCCTCACCTGCCCACAGGACCACTCACCACCTCCAGGGCCCGCCGCAGATCTCCCAGGCAGCCCAGCAGTGCTATGGTGGCCACACTCTCTGCCCGCGCCCTGCAGCATCAAC